CCAGTGGAAAGCACATGAAAGGATTAGTGTTCATGAAAATGCTAAGAATCATTGGAAGTAGTTCACATTGGAAAGAAATTTAGCTGAAAACAGAGCAGTTATTGACGCGGAACTTTGGTCATAGATTGAGAAGGAAAAGCAGAAGTGGCTTGATATCTTGACGAAAATCCTTCACTGCATAAAGTTCCTTGCGACTCAGAACCTGGCTTTACGAGGACACAGGGAGTCACTTGAGCTAGACGACGACTCCAATGAGGGAAATTTTCTTGGCTTACTGAAACTACTGGTCATCTTTGACCCTGTCATGAAAGAACACCACACTCGTGTGGAAAGTCATCCTGGATCCACGTCTTATCTTCATCAGGTGTCTAGAACGAATTCATCCACATGATGACATCCACTGTTTGCCAGAGTTTACTGAGAAGCATTCGTAAAGCCAAGTACTATGGTCTCATGTTCGACTCGACTCCTGATCAGGCACACTGTGAGCATATGTCAGAAGCAGTGAGGTACGTGGAAGCTGATTTTGAGAGGAAAACAGTCCATATTAGAGAGTCCTTCCTTGGTTTTATCCAGATAAGACAGAAGAATACCGAGAGCTTGGTTGAAGACATCTGGAAACAGCTAGAGAAGGACGAAATGGAGCTACAGGATTGTCGGTCACAGTGCTATGACAACGCTGCTGTAATGGCTGGACACAGATGTGGTGTTCATCAAAGAATAGGTGAGAAAAACAACCTGGCAGTATTTGTGAATTGCGACAATCACTCACTTAACTTGGTGAGTGTGCATGCAGCCATGCAGGATACAATGATGGTCACGTTTATTGGAATCATCGAAGCTCTCAACGTGTTCTTCTCCCGTTCAATACAGCACTGGGAAAAACTGACAAACGCTGTGCCTGTGGTCACGCAGTCCAAAACCAGGTGGAATGCAAGGACAGAAGCAGTGAAGCCCGTCAACAAGTACCTTGAGGAGATACTTCAAGTTCTCCAGGACATGATAGACAATGAAAACGAGACCAGTGAAACAAGAAGTGACGCAAGGCAGCTGTATAACCGCATGTTAAGTTACGATTTTCTGACTTTGCTAGGATTTTGGAACAAAGTACTCATTCGCATTGATCATATTCAAAAGATGCTGCAGGATCCTAGCATGAATTTTCACGATGCTGCCCTGGATTTGAAAGCCCATCCAAGATCATGTTGATGATGAAAGAGAAGTGTTGGTCAGTGAATCACTCGAAGAAGGACTCTGTCTCTGTCAAGAATGGAATAATGAAGTTGAAAGACATCAGAGACGAAAGAAACCAATGGCTGATGAGAACTCGAGAGATGCTGGGTTAACAGCCAAGGAGGAAATGGAAAGAGTCATGAAGGGAACATTCGACTGTCTTCACAGAGAAATGGACAAAAGATTTGCTCGCTTGCACGACACTGACGCCAAGTTTGGGTTCCTTCTCGATGTCGAGGGACTGTGTTACGCTACCGACAGTAATGACCTAAAGAAGAAGTGCGAAAATTTGAGCAAATTGTACAGCTCTGATGTTGATGGACAGCAGCTATATGAAGAAATTTTGGATTGCATAATGTTGCTATCAAGTCAGGCCAACATGAAAATATCAAGACCTGAAGAGCTTCTCGAATTTATTGTTCAGTATGGAGATGAGAGCATCTTCCCCAGTCTTCGCATTGCTATTCAGATAATGCTAACCATCGCAGTTTCCATCACCAGCTGTGAGAGATCATTCAGTAAGTTAAAACTAATACTTTCGTATTTGAGAGCTTCCATGGGTCAAAGCAGACTCTGTGATCTTGCTCTGCTGAGTGTAGAAAGAGAAGAAACTGAAAAAACTGACTTTGAGCACATCATAGACCAATTTGCATCAGTGAAAGCAAGGAAGGTGCAGTTGTAATTTTCACTTAGTGCCATAATTTGTTAATTAAAAGATTAATGAGCTTGACTTGTATTTTTGAGCTGATATTATGGTAAAGTTATCTAAAAGATGGGTGTCAGATGTTTGCACAGGGGTGCAATTTCAGTGCTTGCCATAGGTGCTATTTTCCATAGATACACCCCTGGTTTATAGAGTAATGAAATTTGTTATTTTAATTTTTCTTACTATGTAAAAATGCTTAGATTGTAAATAAATGTATTTATACGAATCAGCTATTCATTCCTTTTTTTTTGCAGCCTGTGCGGCAGCACAACACGATGCCCGTCCTTAAAGGGTTAAGGTATGATTTTTCAAAATGTTTGGTCCCAAAAGTGTTTTAACTTCCTTTCACAGTATTTCTATTACCCTGGTTCACCTGTGGTATCAAGAGCAGTTTCTTGTGGGAAAGACTTATGTGAAGTTGAACATCTGGTTAGTGGTATTTTTCATTAGCAAGTTACATTATGCCTCAAATATAGAATTTTTTTTCTTTTGTGATGGGAATGACCAACAGTCATGTGGGTAGTACATGCACCCTGAGAATAATGGCATTAATGTAATGTTTTCTCAGCCTGAGACCATTCTGTTATTCTTCAGCAAAATCCTTCAGCACTGCAGATTTCCAGAAAAGTTGCTGACTCTTACACAAACTCCTTGACTTTTTTGTTTCATAAATAAAGATTCTTTCATTTTGCTCCACACTGTGTCATCTCCCTCATTTCTCAAACTCAAAGTCAGAGAACTCAGAATTACTGTGTAAGACTGTTTACATCAAATCTTTCTGTTAACTCTGTAAATCATACCTGATTATTCTTAAAGAAATCAGTATATCTGAGAATATGATGTAACAGGTAGGAAGGAGAGAATCTAGTGCGTGGCCACAGGATTTGTTTTTTGAGTTTTCTGCTTTTCTCATGATGGGTGTATTTCAAAGTGTTCTTCTTAACTCTTGAGTTATTACGATTACAAAAGGCTTGAAGAAATAGCATGTTTCAAGAGTCTAAAGACATAACTAAGAAAAGTTGGGTCTAGAAGAAGTCCTCTACTGAGCATCAGACTTTTCTCAATGCTGCAAAGATTTATGACTCATGAAGAAAAACTTCCAGAATGGTTGAGTTTTTTTGCTGAGGATCAATCTCGGTACATGGGAGACACAGATGACTGAAGATCATTGCATTAATTTGTGGTCTAGTGAGTCTAAGATTTAATGGGATGATGTCTACAGGACTACATGGTCTTTGCCAATCAGAGTAGCTCACCCCAGCTCTGGTCAAGGCCATCCAAGACTAGCTAAAAAAAAGACTGGAAATGCAACAGATGAGACAGTGGGTATCAACTGATGAAGTTGGTGATCCATGGGATAATCATGAGCTTTTCTGTGATGGGAAATATACTGCCAAAACAACCATGGGTTACAGAGAAATCTAAGATAGCAAAGAGTGAATGTACAAGCAGCCAATGATAACCAATCATTTTGCCACCCAAAGGCAGGAACCTAATCCTTTCCAATTGCTGGGGTTTTTGAGCATGCCCTCTCCAATATATCCCCGGTGTTTAAGGGTCTTAGGCTGGTGTTAGCCAAGAATCTGTGAATGAGAGGTTTATGTCACAGGTCCCTATGACCAAAGTTAAAGAAATCTCTACCTAGTGTTTGAGAGTGCAGCTAAAGGGAAGCTGGACCAATTCCTCAGGTGTTTCAAGCAGGTCAATGTTTGGAATGGCTAGATTAAAGAACAGATAAGTGGTCCAGCCCTCAATCCAATTGACTCCTTGAAGGAGGAACAACTCATGGAATGGGGTACAATTATAGCTGACTTGCAGTGACATCTTGACACAGCCATAAACAAAGCTATCCATCAACCCATGCTCAAAGCTTGAAAGAAGGATCTCCCATGAAGAGCATAGACACTAACATGAACAATTTGCAACATTTGCATAGGAATGTACACATTGCAAAGTATGTTGCTTATACAGTTCACCACTGAACTTATGGGTATATTCAAAGAGGGTTTCAGTGGGAGAATATTTTGTCTCTCTTTCATTCAAAATGGTGGTCAGAGCTAGAATGCTATCATTGTGAAGTATATCTATCTAAATACTGCTAAAACTCAGATTGTTTGTATCTATCTATCTATTCGTTTTCCACCTGATGAATCACTTTAAAATATCTTTTATACAACAATATATGCACACCAGAAATGAAATGATGAGATGAAAATATGTTATAACGGTACATAGAAAGAACAACAATAAAATGGACCTACAATATTATTGACTATTTGCAAATAATAACTATGGAGACAAGGTAATAAAATAAAAATGAAGTCGAGAACAACAACAAAATTTTATAAATGAAAACCTCTTGCCGAGCATTGGCCATTATATTATTTCCCTGTCAATGTTCCCATCTTCATTAAAAGGCGTAAGATGACAAAAAGAAGATCTTGAAGGATCTATCTATATACTACTAAAACTCTGAGATTGTTTGTTTGTTTTTTTGCTTATTTTCTCAGTCAAAAAATCATTCAACTATTGTTCGCGCTCTTTACGAAACTTCTTAGTTCCCTTTTTTGAAAAATGAAATGGTCTTTCCTTTTACTCCCGATCAACAATCAAATATCTTTTCTTGAATTATGAATAACACGAATGGACTGAAACATTTAATTAAATTATATCAAAATAAACCTTCATTTCGGAGCAATATTGAAATTAGCTTGAATTCTTCATAAACTCTGAATTGTGGTTGACCCAACGGGTCACGGTGGTCTAGTAGTATATAATGACTGTATTCCCATGGTGGTGATGTAAGCTAAAGATTATGTGTTGAAAGTCTTTAAAAGGATTTAGAGCATTATTATCTTTAACATTTAACATAGGAAAAAAAGAAGAAAAGAAGATCAAGGGTTACAAGACAATCTAGATAATTTGAAATCTGTAAGGTGGGTTAGTTGTAAATTGAAAAAAAAAGGTATCAAGTTAACTAGGTTTGTAAATCTTGAACAATATGTAAAAATTCCTATTTTGAGATTCTTTACAAGATGAAACTTTGCCATTGTACAAGAATTGACTGCTTCGGGTAAGTTCTTTGATAACTTACTAATGTATTTCTGGTGCTTGGGATAAGGTCTATCATATGTGGATGTTCAGCTGTTCAGTTTCTATGTATCTTTTTGTCACATGACCATAATAGCACACTTGTCAACTGGTTTAATCACTGTCTGTGTGATTCCTGAGAGAATAATACATTTTTTCTTAATTATTTGTGTTAGGACTGGAATTTATTTTTTTATTTTCTATATTTAGTGCATTAATTTCAGGTCGGCAATAACTTCCATAAACTTACAACAAAATCACAAGTAGTGCTGCCTATAGTCTAGGATAGTGTCAGTAAGTGTTGTATCTACAGTAGTTTTAATACTAAAATGTGTTTTGAAGCAGAAGCATCTAAAAAATCTTTCAACATCAGTTTTAAGACTGTAATAATCAGTTTGAATACAAGAAGGTGCAAAAGTTAGTCCTTTAGATGGCACGTCATTCAGCATCATTTCAAGGAAGTTCATAAAAGATAGTTAAAATACACGATGAAATCTTATTGTGTGGATCTGATGGTGATAATGCTTAATGTATGGCATTTGCTTAGTTCTCTAAACAGAGAATGCCATTCCTAAATGACAGTTCAAAAAATTAAGAACATGATCTTGACTGCAAAGTTACTGAGATGACAGTTTTATTTAAACCAAGTATAAGGTTATCCTGCTTATGTCATCAAAAAGTACAAAAACTACACATATATACTATGTGGTCAGATTTCCTCTATGATATTAACCTACCATCCTCTTCATATGTTAGTAACATCACTAATTTAAGTTTTAGTTCACTCATGAACAACAGCTGGCATATTTGCTACACTTCATTTTATCTCTTACAACCATAAAAAAAATTTTGAAAACCACTTAGTACATTCTAAACTACAACAAGAAAATCTTCTTGTTAATGAAACTCATCTGTATAATATAAAAACCTGTTATACATGTTTATCCATTACAAACAACACTGCAAGTGACTGTAGGTCCTCACTAAACACTACACTGAGAATGCATCATTTGCTGCATCTAATGCAGCAGATGTAACAAACTATATATCAGAGAAACAGTCCATCAGCTTAATGATCAATCACATGAATACCTTAGATTTGTAATCGAAGGCTCTATGGAGCTCCCTATTCCTAGACACTTCATTATTCTAACCATAATGTGTTTCTCACATCAAGTCTTTGTATATAACAAGCGTGTATTAGAATAATTTAAAACAAAGAAAAGCTTGAACAGTGCCTCATTTTTAAACTAAAGCCCCACCCCTTCATGGAATTAACAAAAGTTTACTTTCAAATAAGTTTTTTTCTGTTTTGTCAATTAAATTTTTTTAGATGGGATTATTAAAAAAAATTCTATCGAAAGATAATTGTATCAAAAACAAACAAACAAAATTATACAATATTTTAAGGAAATACAAAAGATATTATTTGAAAAGAAAATGTTCACAGCAATAGCTACCAAAAGCATTGGGGGTTATTCCAAATAACACAGATGCAAAATAAGACAGCTAGTAAGAAAGATCAAATAAGGGCCAGTGTTTAGGTGCTAGAACCCATAATGGCCTACAATCCACTATTAGTTTAGGGAGGGCAAGTTCACTTTTTTTCATTCACTTCTCCAACAGGACAAGTGCATTACTTCAGCTGGTTACAAGTTAACTTGCTTGTAGATTAATTGTGGCACTAAAAATAAATGGGCAGACTTCAATAAATACCTTCTTTTACTTTCTACTTATCATTAATCTGTTATTATTCTTGCTATGTCATTACGTGTACTTCAGAGTTGCAATCCCCAATGGTGATACCATGAATAATGAATGGTGCAGTAATTACAGCCATGATTTTATTCTAAGGTCCATGATGCTGAAAAATTATGATTTTATGTACAAAATAGCTGACACTTTGTAAATGTAATATTTACTTTATCCTTAACTTCAAGATATCTGTAAAGAAGTATTTTCCTTAGCATCACTGGTTGGTGCATAAATCAAAGAGCTAATATTATAAAGACTAAAAATGCATTAAGCAATTATTGGGACCCTTCCAATGAATAATTCTTACTCAGAATGAGTTGAAAATGTTTGGAAACTAGTACCAAGAATAAGGTCAGCATCTAAAGTTTTGCAGCATTTATTATGACTTTGGAAAATGTGAGACATATAAAGGTTCTCAGCAGTGAACAAGGGGGTTAGGGATAAGAAAAAATGAAAGAAAGATTAGAAATTGAAAAAAGCAGGTAGACGAAAGAAAATTGCAGCAAAAAACAAATATGATTCTATGAAAAGGATGGGTATTAAGGAAAGAATTATTAAACTTTCATAACAGAAATATGAAACTTTAAAAGAGCTGTAGCTGGACCAGAGAGTACAGAATTTACTAAATCAGTCAAAAAGTCAATAAAAAAAAGTGATGTTTATGAAAAACATTTTAAAATGGCCTATTTTATCACAATGCAGGGAAAATCCTTTACAAAATTTAGAAAATTTTATCATTTACAGTCAAGAAGTAGAGTTTTTTAGGAATAAATTACATCAAGAACAAATCTGCAGAGATTTTGCCAGAAGCAATGATACAAGACACAATTGATAACATTCAGAATTCCAGATTTATCAGTATACTAACTGATGGTTCTAGAAACAAAGCTATTATTGAACAAGAGATATATTTTTGTTATACGAATAAGGATGGGCAACTGACAACTCAGCTCTTAAGGAGAAGATTAGTGCACTACAGCATTGATTGTGAAAATTTAAAAAAAGAACAGAATGTGTACTTGGATTATTGAATATGAGGTAGACTAAAAACATACTTAAGAACTTGTATTATTTCTTAAAAAAAGAGTTTAAAGACTAATAATTTCCTATGTATTATATCCATCAAGTATCAATTTATCTTTTAATTATTTAGCATTGGCTAAAACAAAAGTACTATTATTACAAACAGTTACACATCTCTTAGTTGAGAAATGATGGAGTAGGTTTAGAATTTTGTTAGATGGCTCAGACATGCAACTGGGTTATTCTAAGCCAATACTTTGCTATAGTGATATTACAAATGTCATCTTTATCAAGTTTTACAACACAAAGATGGCAAATATGAGAAGTATAGGCTAATTCAACTGAAAGACGAACTACAGAAATGAGAAGATAAATTTTGGGCAAAAAGATGAACTGGTAAATCTATAGGATTAACTTTATTCTTCTACAAAACAGGCCAGATCATGATAGATCAGAAAGGAATGACATTGTGAACTATGTTTAATAATGTACTGAGCAATTTAACTATGTTAGTTTAAAAACATACAATTATATACAAAAGGCAAGAACTGACACAAGAACAAGCAACTTCTCAAACCTGGCTAGAGACCATGTCCTACAGATTGACTTCTGTTAACTTTTTGGAAAACTGTGAAGTCAACCTTATGCAAGGATATGCATAAGCTAACAAATGCAACAACATTAAGATCTCTAGCTTTGCTGTATGTTCAAATGTATGAAAGTCTGGCAATAGAAAACTATGAAAAAAGCCAATGGAGTAAAAAAAAAAAGAAATGTACAATTTCTGTTTGCATAATGCACCCTTATTTAGTTGCCACATCTGACTGAATCACTAATTACAACACTGTTGGAAGTGAAATGTTTTCAGAGATATTACACATCTTTTGTA